GGGCTCCCGGCAGCAGGCAGAGAAGTGCCCTCCTGCCCAGCCGTCAGCCACGCCTTGCCCTCCTGCCCGCTCCCTTAAGTGGTTTTTCGCTTCTTGGCTGAGGGTCTCTCAAAGACGTCCCGTACGCCCGCCGCTTTCTGCTTAAAGAACTTGGTGTTCTGCGCACTCTCCTGGCCCCAGGCAGAGTCAAAGGAGGTGGTGTCCTGGTCAACCAAGTGTGTGTACTTCGTCCGCCCCGAGCGCCCGAAGTTCTTGACCTGGGGAGCAGAAGAGCTCGTGAGCAGTGTCCAGGGAAGATGCGGGGACCCGCTGCTCCCCCCACCCAGCGCGCGAGCTCCTGCCCCCGCTGAGGAACCGTGACGCCTCTGGCTGGCACACCCACCTGCATGACTTTGGGCAGGATGGTCTTGTTGAAGTGGTCCTCGAGGGTCGGGGCGCTGAAGTCCCTCTTGTACACCTCCTCGTCCTCATCCTGCAGAAGGACACGCCTGCTCAGCCCCCAAGTTCCCACCAAGCACCAGAAGCAGGTGGCAGTGGGGGAGAGCTGCCAGAAGCCCGTATTGCCGCTCTGCCAGGGGCTGCCACGGTACTCGCAGTCCTGTTAACCTACTGCTGAAGGTGGGGGACACGAGCATTGTCCCCCAGGCCTGGCCCTGGCAGCCACCCTTGCGTCCCCTCAGGCCACTTCTCCAGAGCCCAGGCCGCAGCCCACGGCTCGGTTCTGACAGGGTCCATCAGCCCAAACAGCAGCACAGGGATGGCTCTGCTGCTTCGGCCCGGTATCAACCAGGAACCCTCAACCGTACGTGCTCTGGTGAGGCAGCACAGGTCAGCTCCAGGCAGAACTGCGCCCATCCCACTGTGGTGTCACTGCTCACCCACTCCTGACTGCGTTGGTGTTGCAGCTCACCCTCTGCCAGAAGAGCTGGCAGAGTTCAGATCACCTCAGTCACTGCAGCCCCATGCTGCTTCCAAGGGCCGGCTCTCGTCCCAGGGCACCCCCAGCTCCCCGCAGGGAGAAGTCGGCCCCCTCGCACAGCCCTGCTGGTGCACAGGCCCAGCCGCGCCCAGGCCCTCACAGCACCACTCACCATGAAGAAGGCGCCGCGGTGGTAGTACTTCTGCAGGAACTTGTATTTGCCCTTCACTGCCTTGTTGGTGATGACCTTGCCGTTGGCCCGAAGCTCAGCGCGGCGCTCCTCCTCTGTCAGGTTCCGCATGCGCTCGATCTCCGCCTTCTCCTTCTCCATGCTGGGCAGGAGAGAAACCCCTGAGACCCCTCAGCACCATCCCAGGACAGCTGCTGTCACCAGCTGCTCTCCAAGGGATTACATTTACTGACTGGGGGGGAGCAAAGGCGCCCCGAAGGCGGGCAGGGAAGGCTTTGGGCGCTTGCTGCCAAAGGGAAGCCTGAGGAAGAGGTGCCTCAACTGCCCAGGGGCCTGTGGGCTCTCAGCCTCGCGTCTACGCAGATGATACTTACGCTTCTCGTTCTTCACGGTCCCGTTTGATACGCTTCAGCTCACGTACTTTCCAGGCCTCATACTCCTCCTCGTCGTTCTCATCATCTGTATCAAGCGCATCCAGTGCTGCCAGCGAGCGCTTGTTCTCCTCCAGCTCCTTCTTCGCTTCCTCTTCTACAATCTGCAGCAAGGAGCAAGCTAAGCGTGCTGCAGTGACTGTCCCCCCGCGCAACCCCCAGCCTGACCCTTGGCACCTTGAGCGTGTACTTGCGCCTCTCCTCCGCCAGCCTCTTTGCCTCCTGCTCCAGCTCCTTCTGCTTCAAGGCTTCTGCTTCTCGCTCCTGAACTGTGATCCGGTCCTTCCTGCAGGCAGGGACCACAACAGCCATCAGCCCTTCCGCGAGCCAGCGCAGCCGCTCGTCTCCTCGCAGACCTCTCCCCCTCCTGCACCGCAGCTGCTTTCAGACTTCGGGCTGTACAAGAATGGGCCATGTCCCAGGGACCTCCCCCTTCCGGCATTGCCCTCAACCGTACGTGCTCTGGTGAGGCAGCACAGGCTGGCTCCAGGCAGAACTGCACCCATCCCACCATGGCGTCGCCACTTACCCGCTCCTGACTGCACTGGTGTCACCGCTCACCCTCTGCCAGAAGAGGCCAGGGCTACCACGCCATTCCCCTACAGGTGCAGGCGCGCACACAAGCGACGGGAGGCCGAGCCCCTGGCTGTTGGGCAGGGCCCGCTGACGGATCGCCTTTGCCACTGTATGGCACTTGCCCGAGGGCTCTGGTTGGACCCCGCTGCCACTTTGACCCACAGCCCGATCCCACAGCGACCCAAAGCAGCTGACAAGGGGCTGTCGGTGCAGGGGTTGCCCCTCGCTCCCCAGCAGTGCCCTGCCAGGCTGCAACCGTCGCTGCCCCCCTGGGGAGGCAAACCACCGCCCCACGGCAAGGAAGAGGAGACCACAGCAGCGGCGGCGGCGCCGCCCCCCGGTCCTCGCCCAGGGCTGACCCGTGCAACCGCGTCACCCACTTGCGGATGAAGACAGGTTTGAGACGCGGCTCCATTTCATCCTCACTGTCCGTGTACTCCTCATACTCGGACTCTGACTCGGACTCTTCTCCGGATCGACCCTCGTCTTCCAACTCCATCACCTCCATCTCCTCAGTTTTCCTCTCCTGTGCTCGCTGACGCATCATCCCGCGCCGACGCTCGATCTCCTAACGGAGACAAACACAGAGGAGTCAGACAACCAGTCCCACTACTGCTTCCCTCTCACTCTTCTGTCCAAAACGTGCGATGTCTGGAGTGTCAGTTGCGAGATGATACACCCGTCCCTCTGGTTGCAGGGTGGCCTCTCCTGGTGTCCCATCCCGCACAAGAGAACAGTAACCCACGAGTTAAGTCACGGCCACCTGTGACACTTGTCCAGCTCCACCAGACAGCCCACGTGTCCATGCAAAGGTCAGTTCCACCCTGTGCCATTCAGGGGCTTCCCTAGGCCCGTTATTTGGCTCTGCAAGCGCACCTCATCATCGATCTCTTCCTCCTCCTCTTCGCTGGTGTCCTCCCGCTCCAGGCGCCAAGCTTCCCCCTCCACCTCTGAATCGCTTTCTCCCACCACTTCAGGCTCCACGATTTTACGGTGTCTTGCCAGCCTGCAACAGACTCCAATTAAATGACAGCACTTTGAACATAAAGAGGCTGCAAGAAGTTGACTATTCATGAATTGTTCCTAACGAGGCCATGGTAAACGCTGGAACTGCCGAGTGTGGCAGGGCTGCTTGCGGCAGGGCCGGAGCCCGAGGCACAGTGCAGCACAGATGCGACAAGAGCCAGATGCTCTCCTGCGCTGCCCAGTGTTCCTGCAATTCCTTGCTACAGCGCGGCAGAGCGGGGTCTGGACTCCTCAGCCCCTTACAAGGGAAACCTGCAGGGAAGCGCAGCGGGGCAGGCGGAGGCGCAGCTCCACGCTGACCCCAGCACTCACCGCTCCTCCACATCTTCAGCGATGCGGTTCTGGAGGCGCCGGAGCCGGGGGTCGTTGGCGAGCTCCTCCTCCTGCTCCTCGGGCTCCACCTCCTGCTCCTTCGCCTTCTTGATGAACTGGAACTCCTCGTCCTCCTCCTCCGAGGACTCCATGGGCGCGTAGTCGGGCCGCTTCCCCGACACGTACCGCTTCACCTTCACCTTCTCCATGGAGAG